GGGAAAGAGGAAAATTATTCTTTCCAAAGGTAAACAGAATGACTTTAAATTGGAAGAGAGGAAAACCACTTTAGTCTTAACCTGATTTTTTCCTTTTCTAGTTATTTTCCTAAAACTGATGACCATAAACTCCTACATCATACTGATTTGCAACTAATATCGTAATTTTAATTATTTTTATATTAACTGTTAACCAGAAGGGTAGCCTCCATGTATACATATTTACTCAATTACACTACTTACCATATGCTTAGATTTTTTCCCTGTATTATGTTAAAAATGTGGAAAAATATCATAATGTACTTATCCAGGTCTTCCAAAATGCATTTGAATGGATCTCAAACTTCGTTAAAATGAACAAAAACATATTTTACTGCTGCTTTTTACTTAAATACAACAAGCTTTTGATGATGATGAAGACTAGTTTTGTACAGCAAACATTTGGTATTAAAACTGGCTTATCAAACAAGGTTAGCAAATGAATTAGCCAGCTACATTGCTTATTTCTAGACATCATGCCCTCCAAGAATTAGAACTTACAAATTTAAACCTCTCTCCTCACATCTGCTCATGCACTGAACAAGGAGAGCAGAGTACCTGCTTTTTAAGCTTCCTGATTACTCTCTCTGCACCTGCAGGCTACTAACATCAAAACTGGTTTGGCTCTTCAGCAAACTCCAGTCCCAGGCAGTATGCCAACTACTACCACTAATTCAGTGGCTGGACTTTGAAGACTTGGCAGCATCTGTGCATTATTTGAATACAAGTTTTCTATTACAAATTATTTGCATAGGTTTTAAGTAGCTTAGGCTCTAACACTGGCTGCTTTAAATAAATATATTTGAAAAGTACTTGAATACTGCTTCATTTTCAGAGGCAGAAATCACAGAACTGGGAGTTCTGCTCACTTAAGCTAGATAACTGCTATGGGCCCCTATAGCCCAGTGTCACATACTCCAGCTGTCCTCCCACATGGCAGCACTGTATCCCCCTCAGGGATACACTGGCCATACAAAATGACTGCCAAGGCCCTAAGGCAACCTCATCCATAGCTGCTGAGAGAAGCATGCCATGGAAAATGGTGCAGCAGCAGTAGCAGTGCCACTTCCAAGGATCAGATCCTCCCAGGACAGGGAGGATACTGAGAAGGACAGAATCTGCTTGATGATTACAGATGGCTGGTCAGGCCTGTAGTTCAGGAGTGGCCAATGTGCACAGCCACAAAGTCACCTGTGTGGAAACATCACCACCACTGTTTCTTTCCCACGATAGGCTGGAAAGCCAATAGTTAATTTGCTATTCAAATTAATAGACTTTATTCCCACAATTTCTGTGCTCACAGCACTTGTGCAATAGAGAGTACTGCCACTTCCTTACAAACAATACTCAAGGAAGGACAGCTTAGAGTTTGGAAATCCTTTTTGGACAACACTTTTTCTATACATAAGATACAATTCTTCACTTGATTAAAATAACTCCGTGTACAATGTCTAAAACTTCAGAGCAATGGAGATGCAGAACACTTCTAAGCACTAGGCCTGCAACACTAATGGAAGAATGTGGCACTGCAAGATAACCCTCTGGGTTTCTTGCTTTTCCTCTGGGTCATCATTCTTCCCCTCTGGGTCATTATTCTTCCCCAGTCAACTCATCTTCCTGCTAACACACTGCCTTGATAGAGGCAAAAAATATTGTAGCCACATTAGTGCTACTCACAGTGAAGAGCTCAAAGGCAATTTGAAGTTACCTGCACTTCAGAGCTTGATCTCTATGCACTTCTACGTGTCCACCTCCAAAGTTTCTGAAACTTTTTAAAAGCCACACTTGAAAAGGGACACAGATTGGATGTGCAAGAAGTTCTCTCAACTGACTACTCTGCCTAGCCCAACCAAGGGTTTTAATGCCTATTTTTATTATTGACAGTCCATCAGATTTCAGCCAGGAAATGTTACTGGTCAAAGTTTCCCAAAGGACTAACAAAACTGCTAAGCAGCTGGTATACATAACCTGAAAGCTACGAGCAGTTTCAATGCAATTATCTCTGTTCCCAGCAGGAGCAGATGTACTGAGAGGTCAATTAGTAAAGCACTCCATTCCAGCATCACAACACTAATTACGAGAAAAAAGTTATCTTACATACATTTTACACACGGCCTATGCTAAGAAAAGCACAGGACAGATGTAAGCATATGTAGGATCTATGTATATGAAAGTTAAGTGTGTTTTCCCCTTACCTTTTCTGGCTCTTCTTGCATTTGTTGCTGATCTCTACTCTCTATGTTACACAACCTTTGGCTGTGGGCAATGGAGCGTTTCAAGGGTTCATCATCACTGTCAGAATCTACACCGAGTGCTGCAGAGCTCTTTGACTTGAAAGTGCATTTTCTGTAAATTAAAAACATGGCTATAAAACTTCATGGCATTGTGGCATCACACAACCTGTTCTGAAGTAAGCAACAAAGAAGTGTTAAACCAAACTTGCACATCACGGGGCAGCACAATCTGTGGAACAACCTGTAGTGACTGACAGTGAACATTTATTAACATAGTAGGCAGGATTTCTAGAAAAGGTAACTTTTACCAGGTTAACTGGCATACCTACTTCACGCCTGCAATGGCAACTTACAACCTTAAAATTTACTGAGTGTTTGGCTCCTGTTTCTGAGGGTTCTGCACTTCATTACCTAGCAATCCCAGACCTTACTCATTTCAGACGAGTCCACAGTAACATGTAGAACTCAGCACAAACCATTTGACTTCTGAAGTTTACTAAGCTGGACACAGGACTTCCCAGATTGTTACTAGGATATAAAAAGTGCAAATCTGAACAATTTTTTTCACTTTTCCTGTTTGCTCACTCATTACGATACATTCTTGCTTCTTTAGAACAGGAGACAAGGGAGTCTGAGGAAGTGGTGATTTCTGCTTTAGGAAAACTGTTCCTTAAGCATTCCATGCAAAACTACTGAATGTGGTATCACATTTGTGAACCATATGGCCTGTAAGAACCTCTCATTTTCACAAAGAATCTTATGGCACTAACTACCTGTTTCCAAAACACACATGGGGGCTCTGTTGAGCCAGAAGGGAAAAAACAGCCAGACTGCAGAATTAGAAGCCATTTTGCTTCTCATACATGTGACAAAAGCAAGATAGTTTAAGATTGTTGGTACTGAGAAATCATTTGAACAACCTAAATCCAGTTCTCATTCTGATGCTCAGCCTGAGAAGAATAATCTCTCCTTACTTACAAGTCCCCAAAGGTTTGTTCTCACGAGAAATGTTAAGGTGATCATGACAACTAGGCAAGCTGTACCATCACAATTAATTTCACCTAGCATGTAACAACCATAAAACTCTGATATGAAAAAAGACAATAGCTGAAATACTTTACTACAATAGAAAAAGTGGGAAGATTCAAAAAGAATTAGAAAATTTAAAAATGCCTTAAAACTTATGCCATGAAAGCCCAAGCGAAGGGCATTTCAGAGCTATAACTCACCTACAAGTTATGGAAGTGCTTATAGTACAGGAATTCACCATTTGGGAGGCTTTCAGTGGACGGGATCTATTAAAAAAAGCAAAGTATTTATTGCAACAGTTACAGTTAAAAAAAACAACAGTGTTTACTTGTCTGCTATGCATGCAAATCCATGACCAAAGAAACAAGGAGAATACCATTACATCCTTGCTAATTGCTTACATTTAGAGTAATAACTCCATCATGCTATAAATATACAACAGTTGTTCAAAACCACACATAATCCTTTAAACTTGATTCACTTCTTAGTGATGCACCCTTAGGGACAAACTCACAAATGAAAGGCTTTGGGCTCCCATGTCAAGACAACTCATTCATGGTGGTTTGTTCTTTTTTTTTTTATTCCCACCAACACTTGTGTTCCTGCTCCCAAACCACAGTCTCCTATAGCTGTCTGGATCAGCCGGTTTTCTGGCATGTCCCACATTTCCATTTCTCTTCCCTTACCTAGATTCTTCTAAATAAACTTCCTGCTCCATTTGATCCTTTCACAGGCTCCTCAAAGTCCACCACTATCATTACACATCTATCCACCAGATGGCTGCCAATGCAGAAAACTTATCTAATCTTCCCCTCAAACCAGGGCTGATTCTCTCCAGCTGATTCTCTCCACTCTCTGGTCAATCAGAATGGTTTCAATGACTAAAAAAAGCGATTGGAAAGCTATTTCAAACATATTTTAAAGTATTTCTGCTATGGTTAGCTTAAACTGTTTGTTGTGTTTAAGATTTCTATTGTTAAAGCAAACTCTTGGGAAACAGCCACGTAAATCTCAAATGCCACTAAATGCTGAGAAGAACACGTGCCACGTTGCTGAACACACACACCAGGTGTGTCCGAACTCCCTACAGTTATCACAGTTATGTCACTAGGACCACAAGAGACCTGAGGGTTTCTTGTTCCTTGTTCTGCCACAGACTTCCTATGTGACAACTGGCCCATTTAACCTCTGTGTCTCAGGACAAACAGCTGTACAGAAATAACTGTCACAGGGAAAAGGGGGAGAGCATTTTCAGCATGTGGAGTGCTCAAACACTATAGTGGTACCAAAAAAACAATTAAAATGAATGACAGTATAGAAAGTGCATGTGGAAATTAACAAGAAAAGACAGGACGTTTTGTCTCCTAAACAAGAGTTAAGTGTGCTGTGAAGGGAAAAGTAGTATACATTTTGGACAGAGACACAAATTTTAGAAATTAATGGCAAAAGTTTTAATTTTAAAAAAAAGGGGATAGAAAGCTATTTTCAAAGACAGTGAATAATTCTATCTTATTATTATTATTCTATCTATCTTATATTCCCTAGATAATGCCCCATCAACTCTTTCAAAATATTCCCTAGATAATGCCCCATCAACTCTTTCTACTGCTTCTTGTCATGCTTCCTTCCCATACACATTCTCATGATGGCATCACCACAAACCCAGACATCTTCTGGAGATCTGACAACTGCCTGCCCTTCCAGCATATGTGCTTAACATGGCATGGACTGATCCCAACTTGCACACTTACACTGTGGAATGGACGCTCCAGCCCAATGTCAGCGGCAGCCTAGTGCTCTCCATACAGTGTGAAAGGAGGGTTAAGTATCTTGGAATAACCACCTGCTGCCCGACTTTATGATTGAGAGACAATGCTACATTGAAGCTGTATCGTTTCAGATGGAGAATCAGGACCCTGAAAGATGAGAGAGAAGGACACAAATGTTAATCTCCAGGCAGAAGTCTGAGAAAGCCTACTCAAAATCCAAGTAGCCCCATTTACAAAATTAATTCAAAACAGATTATTACTTTGGTGTGTGTGGGGAAACACTATCCATCTCTTATCTGGCAAGAGACAGGTAATTACTCTCCTGTCCATCACAACTTTGTGCGAGGTGCAGACTCTGCCAACTCAAGATGCTTCCAGCTTTGATCAGCATCACCTTGTTCTCCAGCCCAGCAGAACCAAGCAGCTCTTACCAAACCATTTTTACTACACAGTGAGGCAGCAAACAATAAAAATACTATCACTATAGGCCAGGATGTTATGTTACTCCTGGATATTCCAGACTGAGATGGAGGGATCACACAGCTGTCCAAAACTGAGGAGGAACCGTGCCCAGTGCAAGATGTGTACCTGGTTTACCTGTCAAGACACTTTCTCTGTAAAAGAGCTTTAGATCACAACAGCACAAAAACTTGAAAAGGCCTCCTTACACTGAAGCTTTTCCCTTATGCTGCACTTTGTCCTGTCTGTTTAGATCAAGCAGCTGCATCATCACTTATATTGTGCTAATATTCAAAACCTGTGACAAGGGTTTTGCAGACCCAGCACAAAGGGACTCTTTAAGCAAAACATTAACTACCAAGTTACTGGGTTCAGCATGAGCATACCTGGGACAAGGTCAGAGGCCAGGCAGTCACCCAGCAGCTTGACATCTCAAGAGAAAACAATCCCTATCCCCAATCACTTCTGCTCTAAACAATGATCTAAACCCAGCTTTAAGGTCAGAAATTATTGAGCTTGCCATGAGCCCTCAAAGTGCTGAACTTCTCCCTCAAAGCGCTGTGCTCACTGAGAGAAAAAAAGGGCAGCAGCATAGGAAGAACTGACCAAAGCAAAATCCTCTATGCACTTTCTGGCAGTCATGTCTCCAACTCAGTCCTGCTCATCAGGTGAGCTAAGCAGAAAATGTTAAACTTCCAGAACATATTTACTGCTTCCACTTCCCTCAAGTCACCGAAACCCCAGGAGAAGGGGAAACTCAGCCTTCCTTGTGCAGTGATAGGGAGGAATTAAAAAACCAGCTGCTGCAGATGATGCCCAAGAGAGCTTCCAAAGAGGGAGACTGAGGAACAGGATGAAGCCTGTTGTCTGCATGTGCGTCTGTCTCACATGCTTATCACTTTACATGCCACCCTACCCATTATCCCAGCTTTACTCTTCAAGGGGCTTCTTCCTTGGTAACTTCACTTGGGTAACATGCTACCAGGAAAGAGAGGAACAGGCGTCAACATCTACCTGGGAAGCCTGTTGAACTTGTGTGTGACAACAGCAAACTTTCCATCGCACTTCTCACAGGAATACTCGATCTCTTCTGCCTGTTTCAGAGAACAGAAAAATGACTAGTGGAACAAATGACACAATCAAAACTTAAAATCTTCTATACAATCAACATTTCCATATGGTACATAAACTACACATGCTCCACATTGAATAAAAAACAAAACAAAAGTATGTACCCTAAAAAAGAGGTCAAGGGAATCCTGGATTGACCGAGAAGGAAGGAATTTCTTTCTTCGAGGAAGGTCAATGGAGAGGTCATTAAACTGTTCTCGTTTGATGACTGTTTCACCACACCTAATAAAAACAGGCTTATGTAAGTTTGATGAAAAATACACTTGAAATTAAGGACAACTTACATTTTTTAGGCTAATCATGCACACAGAAAAGCAAAGGGACTACTGTGTAGCTGAACACTTCTTCATTCAACACCTTTAGAAGAAGCCAGCCCAGCCCTGAAGAAGGGAAAGCCTGAAAATACTTTCAAACTGTTTTTAGAAACAAAATAGCACAGCCCATCTAAAATGAAATCTCACTTTTTTAATTTTTTTGACCCTACAGTCATTTGTCTTCAATAATTACTTTCTGCACACAATTCACTTTAAAATATTTTAGGGAACTAATGCTGTACATACAAAGTTGTATTTAAAAAAAATCTGTGTTCTTGAAAACTCCACGGAATGCAAACATCCCACGTGGGAATCTGATGCACAGGTCATACATAACTGGCCAGACACATCAGTTTACATCTTTTTCTGCAATAACCTACAGAGCCAGAAGAAAATGGCATTCCCTGGAAGCCCTTAGAAAGGACATTCTAGAAAACACAGCTTCCCTTTTTTTTTCCTTTAAAAGGAAACATTACTTGACTGAAACCCCATTTTCTCCCTATTCTCATACAACCAGTGTACAACAAGCAAAGCTCAGCAGCTTTCCACTGGGTATGTAATGAAGAACTAAGTGGTATGAGACAGCTTAAAGAAGGCCTGCAGCAGCAATGTGCTGTGAGGTTTGTAGAATTTCTAGACTGTAGAATATTTTCTGTCATCCAGCTTTGCTAAAAACCTATAGTTCTTAGTTCTAGTTCTAGCCTGCTATGAAATCATGCAAAATGGAAACACTTCCCAAGCTTTTAAGGCAAGTATTAGAAAAGTTCTTCAGCATACTCACGTTTTGCAAATGATAGAATGCTGAACCTCAAACTCCAAGTTACTGATGACTGGACATGTATAAACTTTGGTGGCTGAGAGGTCATCTGAAGCCCGTTCAGGTGAGTTATCCTCATTAGGAACTGGCTCACTCTTCCAAGTTTTGTTTAACTTTTCCATGTCCTCCTTCAGCTGATCCAGACACTGGCTTAAGAACTCATGTGCATCCTAGAAATGGGGTAAACCCATCACAGTGATTTGGTACAATTTCATTCACTAACTTCCTCTTAAACACACACAGATTGGGGAAATTGTGTTTTAGCTTCCAGCAAGACATTTCTTCTGCAACAATTCAAGGGGTCAAGCTGTGCCAGGGGAGGTTCAGATTGGATATTAGGAAAAATTCCTTCACAGAAAGAGTGGTGAGGCACTGGAACAGGCTGCCTAGGGAGGTGGTGGAGGCACCGTCCCTGGAGGTGTTAAAAAAACAGGTAGATGTGGTGCTTCAGGAGATGGTTTAGTGGTCACAGGGGTGTAGGGCAAACGGTTGGACTTGATGACCTTTTAGGTCTTTTCCAACCTTGATGATTCTATGATTCTAAGCAGCAACCAACTGTCTTTTAATCAAAAGCTCAAGTCACTGTCAAATCGAACTGAAGCTTGACAGGAGCTCAGTGCAGTCCAAACACCAAACATAATATACTTGTTTCTAGACAATATGGTACTTACATTCTGCATGTACCCAGAAAATCTCTCTGCAGTAGCTGAAATTGCACTTTTCACCTTCTTTAGCAGCTCTTTCTTAACCTCAGGACTGCAAACATCCTTTTTAGCAAGCAGATGGGCAAAACGTCTGCAAAAGTCAATGCAATGAAACACTGATTGGCTTTCCAGGACTTTAGAGAAACAAAATAAAACTCATGCTACCTCATTTTAAGAGTTTCTAAAAGCTTTTCTCCTGTGATAAGTGGTTTAGGGGTTTGTATTAAAATAGCTCATATATAATTAACCTTTTCCATTTCAAATGTTTTGAAATCTCATTTGAGGCCATAACTGGAACAGGACCCAAATGAACAAAAACATTTCACAATATTTTAAGGTAAAGAGCCTTTTAAAGTTCTATCAACTTATTTCTGCTGTATCTTTTACAATAAGTACTGACACCAGTTATGAAATCACATGGCACTGAAATAAGCAGCACAAAAATCATTAAATTCAACTTGCATGGTTAGACTTGATTTCTATTTATTTTTTAACTTTAAATTTCCACTCAGTTTCAAGTCTTACTTCTTTCGGCAGCAAAACTTTACACGTTTTAAAAATAAGTTATTCTGCATTTATTTTGCAGTTTCTGGCATTTTTTTCTGAAGCATTTCACTCTGGCACTAGAAATACTGTAGAAGATATAAACCACTGCCTGTAACTCAGCATTGCAATTTTTAAGAGCCTGCTACTTCTTGCTTCTAAAATTCAACAAGCAAAGAGCTCCAGGATTTATTTTATTGTTTACACACAAAAATTACTCTCTACAAAGGTGCCTCAGTATTAAAAAAAATAGTTTCTCAGTAATGCAAGAGAAAATATCTTTCCTGGAAAGTGAATTTTACCTGATAAGTGCATTGAGCGGAATTTTTTTCCATGGGATACCCTGCTTGAGTAAATCATTAGCAAAAGACTGAATTGAAAACAAGGATTGTAGAATGGCATTCATATAGCAGGTGTTTCCCAAGTTTGAAAATCTGAAAAAAAAAAAGAAAAAATATTCAATATGAATGTATGTCAGTGTGTCAACATGCCAGTGTTTAACACAGCACTGCCAACAGGTAGGACATTTACCCCAGCCACTCCCCACAGAGCTTTTTATTGGTGCTGTCCACCTGCCCTTCAGACTGAAAACTCATGGGAGGTGCCATTTATCAGGAAAGCACCCACAAGTTTCTGCAAACAAAATTTGAAAATATGTGTGCATATACACAAGATAGAGAAATGAATCATGAAAGTCTATGAAAGGAAGATGAATTACCTGAAATTATCCTATCTCTAAAATTCTCAGGAAATTCATTAATACATATGTTTCAAACTAGGAAAATTGTTCCTCATTACAGTGTTCATTTATTTCAGGATTCATTTTTTTTATTAAATAATTATAACCAAAATGTGTATGCTCTGATGATCCAAGTGTGCATGCTAGATAAAGGAAAATAAATTTACCCTTGCAATTGTTGTTGAGGATGGGTGGAAGGAGGCACTCGGGGTTTGTTCCAGCCTGTGTAATCTTGATTAGATCTCATTTTTTTAACAGAAAGAGGAGCAGGCTGAGAAAGAAATCCCAGGCTTCTTTTGGCTGAAGGGGACTGACTCGATACAGTAGACCTAAAAACATAGAGGGATAAGAAGTGTAAAATTTGTAGCCTTCTTCCTTAAATGGCTACAGTCCATGACACTGGAGTTGTATCACTGTAGAAGACAAGGACTAGTAAAGCCACAGAAGACACCTGGCATGTATCATAATGCAAAAGAGGTGTGAGAGAGAATTTCTTTCCTGAATACTTAAATATGGTTACATTTCCTTATATCCGCAGGTGGGCATGCAGTATAACCAAGTACTTTGTTTATAAGATATTTAACAACTCCCCATGCTGTATGATGAGAGGAAGCACAAGATCACAACTCCTAAGACATGTTTAAAATTCCCATGTGTGCCAGAGCCTTCATTTTCAGCCTCCTGTTCTTGTAACCAAATCACTCTGGACCTCAGTCCCTCATGTAAAGTGTGGACAATGCTTCTATTCTTCCTTGATCTTGTGTCTCATCTTTCTAGGGCAGAGCCAGACAGTTTGATTGCACAGCATCTAACAAAGAAGAATCCTAACCTCAGGGGGATCAGTATTACTCAAATACTGTTATTAAAGTATAAGTTTCATGCCATTTATCTACCTGGGGAAAGTGAAACAAGGATTCAGCCTTAAGTTCTAGAGTTTATATATAAATTTGAACCATCTAGAGTTTACATAACAGCAGGATCAGTCATTCACAAACTATAACAGACTTGAGTAATTTTAGGGAGTCAATCTATTGCAAGCAATAACTGGAATTTGTAGATGTAACTACAGCAGTTGCAGCCACACTGGGTACCTAGATTGAACTCCTACGGAAAAACACCCACAGCAATACATACACATTCTATGCATATAAGCTACACATCAAATGATAAACACAGAAAAGTGAAGATCCTAATTCCTGGGAAAGAATTGTCAATTACAGTTCATGCTAGTCAATCAGTCCTACCTGTCCAGGGTGGAACTGCCAGTGGAGTAGTCTTTTGATGAGGACCTGCTGCCATAGAAGGATGATGACTGCAGTGGTAAAATACCTTGAAAAACAGAGAGGCAGGTCATTTTGTTGCAAGTAACTCTGCTATTTACACAACATACAGCTTGCCTGAAAGTTAGGCAAAAGGTTTAAAAATCCTCAAATACAGTTTTCCAGAATTGGTGGGGAAAGCACCAACACACGTACTTGAAGTATTAATGCAAATATCAATAAGTAACTAAAGACATGCTGGAGCTTGAATTGAATTTAATACAGTAACGTCCATCAAATCCAAACTGCAACATGAAACATTTAAAAAGTCACTGCATGACCTTAACTATCTGAAAGATAATAAATATCCACCTCTTGTGCAATTATACAAGACAAACACAACAGAAAACTCACTAATGATTTACAATACAGTGCTCTCAAAATTAAAGGTAAATAGAAGTGAAAACTGTTGTCTTCCCACTCCAAATTCCACAGTAAATTACTCTGTACTTGGGGCAATATATTGTTTTTTCAGGCCTCTGAGATGGTACCACACAAAAATCATGCTCTCAAGAGTCAAAACCCCCACCTATTACAGTGAATCACAGCATATTTTAGGTTGGATAATGAATAAAGATGTGCTTCTCTCCCAGCTCCAAGTGTCCTGAGCCATGCAAATATCTAAAATGCAGGCATATGGAGGAAGGTTGCAATACTGTTACCTGAACTTGCAGGAATAAACCCACAGATTCCAACTTTAAACAGCAAAACAGATTTTCATTCACAGATAAATATCCACTTTACTGGTTCCTCCAGAAACATGTTTGTGCCATCAGAGCTGCACAAAAAAAAGTGTTCAGCAACATTCTCTATAAAAACAAGATCTTGAATGGACTCCCCTTTCTGGGGAAACAGGCTCAGTATTTAGAAGTAAAACTGAAGAATGGTGCTGCTTGCTATCTTATGTACATACTGTCAACATGTTGATATTGTCTATAAAACCTTGTCACATACCAAAATCCAACAGAACTTTGGTACAAACAGAACAAAAGTCCTGGCCCCAAAGAGTTTCCCCTCTAAGTTCTGAGGAAGAGATAAGGACATAAAAGCAAACACTACACGTTTTCAGCACAAAAAACAGCCTACAATTCACAGAAGCATTAACAGCAAAGAAGAGCCTTAAAAATAAACAAGAAAGAGAGTAAAATGGAAATTTTTAGGTTTTTA